CATTTATTCAGTCATGTAGGGTCCGAGGAGCCACCGCTCACGAGTAGACTTGTGCCGGTATTCGGTAATGCGATATATCACGGTAATAAATATGCACAATATTGTTATCGTGGGCACTTCTAAATACTGTGAATAATTATATATTACAAATTATTCAGAATTGTGAATGCATTTTAAGAATACTTTTCCCATCAACTGGTCAAAATGCACAACACAAAGTGGGTAGGTCCACAATTAGTTCTGGTACTATGAAAAGGTTCCCGCGGTGCGAAAGGCCCTTATAAACCCATTTTTCATTATTGTTAGGTATATGAAACCAAACATTGACTTCTATCATTCGCTAACATTGTTAATACAGGGACTTCGGCAGTTGTTATATTTGCGTATTTCCTTTGAGGTCAAAATTACTCCAGATGTATTTATTTTTCACTGAATTGGCACACAAACAGTAGTTTGAATGCAACCTGAGTGGCAACATCTGGGCTGTCTCAATTTCACTTACAGAAAACAGAGGCTGGTTATGTCTTTGAAAGTACATGTGCTAACCAGGCGTAGCATGAGAAGTAAACTTTCTGTCTTTATTAAATGAAAAATACAGCACAAAGTGAAAAATTCAGTCAAATCGGAAACTGTTTGATCTTGAAATAGTTCACTTAAATTCAGATTACAGGTGGTAAAACCGTTCTTCTTTTTCGTTCAAGATGCTAAATGCTAAAAAGTTAAACTAGTTTGGTTGTCTGTTTATGTAAATAGACAGTGTAAATAAATGTAAATGAGCATTCACACTGACAAAAGTTTGCAGCAACAAAGCAAAGTGAATCAGTCATTTTCAGTGAAGGTTGCTGATTTAATATAGCAACTATAGCACAATTGCACAATCCTTCACTGGATGCTGTCGAATAGAGCAGTCAAATAGGAGCAAAATGCACGACATCTTGTCAAACTGAAGCAGTTTGTTCACCAATTCAGATTTATTTGTGATGTGGTGTTGGTCTATTTTTCATTTTAAGACATAAAATGGAGCAAAAGAAAGATTGGTCGCATGTTGCTTTGCATTGTCAGGTATAGTAAGGACACAGTGTAAATAGATGTTAAGGAGCGTTCACACTTACAACAGTTTGCAGCAACAAAGCGAAGTGAGTCAGTCATTTACAATTAAGGTTGCTGATTTAAGGTAATATAGTGACTATTGCGCAATCCTTCCCATGATACTGTCGAATACAGCGGTCAAATGGGAGCCGACAATAAGGCATCTTGCCAAACTGAAGCAGTTTAGTCACTGTCAGTATGAAGTAACGCACCTTTGTTTAATCCAGTTTGTATTTGAAGAGTAGGGAAATTACATATAAGCCTGTAGAATGCCAATTTATCAAACAAATCTTTTCTGACATTTTTATATGCATAAAATTTACACATTTATGTAATTGCTGTCAGTGTGAACACACAGAGTAAGATTATGCTACATCTAATTCAATTCAGTTTACATTCAGATTAATTTATTTCACACTTTTTTATTTCAGGACATTAGATGCAGTAAATTAAACTGGATTAAACATCAGCCAAGACTGTACATACGGCATATCATGATGCACATTGATGCATGCATGCTTTGAACATTAGCCATAAACCTTGTACTTTTTTTTAATGATTCTCAAACTTTTGTCTCATATGTAATGCTTTTTTGGGCATTTTGGATTTCTAAATCTGATTCCTCCATTAATTGCAGCGATGCAGTATTGTGTAGCACATTGAAGATTAGTCATTCGATCCAGAGCTTCTGGTTGTCCTCCATTAGAATCATTCCTGCCGAGTTCGCCAGTAAAAATAGACCTTCATTATTGAATCAGCAGTCTCCTCTCAATCAGGCCGCACACAGCAAATCAAACCTCTCATACATATTCCAGTACGATCCTTTGCACAGCATCCGAAAATCCCGATAGCGGTGGAAGTCCTCTATCGGATGTTTTCGCTTCTCCTCACCATCCGTCACTGTCAGCGGCTGCAAGAGTCCGTCTTTTGCCCCGGACTGATTGGCTTTGACTCCTCTCAGCTTTTGGCTGGACAGCTAAGCAACACTGTTATTCCAGCAGGGATATTGATAGCCCCTTTGCACCGGCACCCTGACCCTGTTTATTACAGTGCTGCATATTTGTGAATTTGAGGGTGCTAAGTGTCTAGACCTGTCTTCAGCTTGGCCTGTAATTGATTGTGTTGATAATGAATGATCATTTATAGTTCATCCACAGTATTAGACCAATCATTTGGTGGAATCACTGAGATATAGACGTTGATGCGTTAATGAATAATTGAGCGAAAACACAAAGCTTTGACTTTCAGTCAATAACATAAAGCTTTTAAATGATTGCAAATGCATCGTATTTTGGGTCTGATCAATCACCCGAGGTGTCGACCGCATTAACAAAAGTCAGATATCCCAGCTCGTGCCGTTGCGGCACTCATGCGGTGAGCTGCAGTGAGCTGATTCAGCATTGTTTAACTGTTTGGAGATCATTGAAATGACAGCCGTGCTCCGTTTAGATCTAGTTTTGTGTTATTTATAGCACACTATCTCCATTGTAATCCGAGTAAGGAAGGATACCTGGACGTCTTGCGCTTTTATCCTTGTTGTCATAAACCACCGTAAGCAAGCAAGACCTCAGATAAGCTGACCGTGCACATTCCTGCCAATGCTTCGAAGATGTTTTCAAGGGATTTGTGACCTCCCTGCAACAATGCAGAGAGCACACAAAAGCCTATATGGGTCATGTCTCTGCTTTATACCCTTGATGCAGACATATGCTGTATTATAATTAAATGCAAAATTATGCAATTTGATTATAGCGAAATATGCACAAAACATTCTGAATGCATGTGGTTTATACAGAGACTTTTGTCCTGCTTTTCATTTTTGCATTTGTGAGGCATTGTATCTGGTTAGTAATGAGCTTGTTAAAGTGTCAGGATAGTTTCACGGTATATGATCTGACAGTTAGAAGAAGATTTTTAATGAAGTAAGGCCAGATTTAGTTAAAATTTTTTATCTAAGATCAAATTGAAAAACTTAATTTAACTTAACTAACCTCGTTCTCGCCATGAATATAGCCGAGGTAGCTCGCATGGCGTTAAATCATAAACAAACAAACAAAATCTGACAGTTAGATGGTGTGTAGTTAGCAGAGAAATTAAAGATGGAAAAGCTGCTGTACATGCATGCATGTGCATCAGTCCTTTACAACTTTTTAAACTGTTTGCATGTCTTTTGTTTACATTGTTAATAAATTTTTGGTTTAATTAAGCAGCTTTAGAATACATACATAAAAATATATTTCTACATACGAGTAGACTTACACACAGGTGAGTCAACTCTGTCTTTATCATAACTTTCATATTAATACTTTTGACAAGTTACAAGCAAAAATGCTTATGATGAAACTGCATATCTTCATCCAAAACATGTCAAATTGGCTGTATTTATGTATTTTAAAGGTAGTGGCACTCCAACGAATTATCAGCAAAGATTGAAAACCATTTATAAACCTTTTTAAAAAAAAAAAGCATAAGCAATATTAATAGTGATTTTGACTTTGCATACACAACTAAAGAAAAAAAATAAAGAACAAAAAAAAAATAGACTGTAGTATTGTAAAAATAAGTTTATGCAATTTGATTTATTTTTGTATTTATTTTGTATTTATTTTTTATGCAAAGTAACGCAATCTACCAGTTTATATATATTTTTTATTTAGCAGAGATATTAAAAACAACAATATTAATAGTGCTTGATTGCAAATGCCACTAATGAAAAAATTAAATAAAAGTATTTTAAAAATTAGTTCATGCAATTCAATTTAAATTTGTATTTCTTTTATGCCAAGTGAAGGAATATTTTAGTAGATATCTTAAATGTAAAATACATTGTATAAAATATTTAAAATATTACATATTATATTCAAATACATAAATGTTGAAATAAAATAAAATAAATATTAAAATCATTGTATAAAATAAAGCCATTAAAAATACATCATTTAGAAATAAATATGTAATTAAAATATATAATTCAAAAAATGTAAATTTAAAAATTGAAAATATTTCTTTTAGTATTTCTTAATCTAGCAGAGACGTTAAAAACAGAAATAAAACATGCAAATGTGTGTAATTAAATTATGTAATTCTTAAAATGTAAACATACATCATTTGAAAATATTTCTTTTTTATTTTTGACATATATAATCTGAAAATTAAAAGTTTCAATAATGCATTTATTATTTTAATTAATGACATCTGTGGTTGTTTTCTTCAGTTTGCTTCAGTTATCTTGTTTTGTGAGTAGCATGAGCGTGTGATATTTGTGCTCAAGGTTACCGTGGAGATGTCACACCTCCAGCGAGCAGCTGATGCTGTAGAGCACATGCAGGGCGACGCAGCATCTGCAGAGGCAGTGAGATTCTCTTTCTGTGTCTCTGCATGTCCGCAGTATGTGCTACCGCTGCGTTTTTAACCCCTCCTCCACTGTTTCTCACATCCCGGTATCAGTCTGGCCTCCCGTGTCACTGGATATCCTGCAGCGGAGGTTTAATGCAAACACACGCTTGACCTTGTGCAGAATATTCGTCTAACTTTGGCCTCCTTAATAAATATTGCAGTATGAAGCAGACATCCTCACTGCATTGCTGCTTGTTTTTCATGTATGTTGTAGTGTCGTTTCTATGCTGATTAAATTTTTTTTTGCAGGTAATCAACGTGTTTACTTTATATAATGAGTCAATAGTTGTCAAATAGTTAGAGTATAGAGCTATGAAGTTAATGTAAATAGCAGTTCAGATCATTAAGACTTGAGATCTCTGACTTTTGCTGAAGTTGAGACTCTTTTGAGATCTCTTCTGAGATAAATGCGAGATTATTGGGGTCTTTTTCACAGGAGAGATCAGCAAAAGTTTTCATTTCTGTCCAGGAGAAACAACTGAGATACTTAATTTTCCTGATCTTTCTTACCGTAGGGTCGGTGTACGAGAGAAAACTGTAAGTACCTTCACCCCCCGGCGCATCTGAAGACGCAGCTGGAAATCAACGGACGCAACAACCTCATCCAGCAGAAGACCGCAGCAGCGATGCTGGCGCAGCAGATGCAGTTCATGATCCCCGGCACCACCATGCAACCAGTGGTAAGAACCGTCTACTCGTCTAGATGCATATGAAGAGTTTATTTGCAAAGACAGATAACTATGTTTTTTATCATGTTTTTTATTGTGTTAATTAGCTGTATTTTTTAGTTATTTTTTACCTAATCAAAATAACCCAACTGCAGTTTGATTGAGATTAATTGGAATGCACAATGAAAAAACATGATTTTTGATGATGAGTTATCTGTTTTTGCAAATGAACTCTTCATAATTACTTTACTTAAAGGAATAGTTATTCAAATTATCTGAAAATGTACTCACTCTTAGGCCATCCAAGATGTAGATCGATTTGTTTCTTCATCAGATCTGGAGAAATGTAGCATTGCATCACTTGCTCACCAGTGGATCCTCTGCAGTGAATGGGTGCCGTCAGAATGAGAGCTGATAAAAACATCACAAGTAATCCACACCACTCCAGCCCATAAGAAACAAATTCATCATTATTTTCATCATGATTTTAACTAAAATACGAGTCCATAATCCATAATAATGCTTCCTCCAGTGAAAAAGTGGTCTGGTCTGAATCAGGAGAGAAATCTGCACAGATCCAGCACTGTTTACGAGCCAAAATAGTTCTAAACAAATATGTTAATAAATATGAGACAACAGGGGATGGACTTTTTCACTGGAGGAAGCATTATTATGGATTATAGTATCATAATATCATAATTATAGTATGGACTATAGTAAAAACACTCGTATTTTAGCTGGAAGCAACGGTTTAAAGTTAAAAACGTCTTGATGGATTTGTTTCTTACAAACACTCAGCTCTTTTCTTCACAAGACGTTAATTGATGGACTGGAGTGGTGTGGATTATTGTGATGTTTTTATCAGCTGTTTGGACACTCATTCTGACGGCACCCATTCACTGCAGAGGATCGCATTGGTGAGCAAGTGATGCAATGCTACATTTCTCCAAATCTGATGAAGAAACAAACAAAATTTTCATTTTTGGGTAAACTGCTTCTTTTTTTCTTTCATATTAATTGTCTTCTTCACAGCCTACATTTCCTGTCAGCCAAGGTCTGGGCTCGAACCCTGGACTGAGTTACGCACCGTATCTGACTCCCATGAGCCATGGCATGGGTCTGGTCCACACAGAGATGCTCCCCAGCACCCCTGTCATCATCCCCGGCAGCCCGCCGGTCAGCATGCCGAGCTCATCCTCATCGCAGAAGCTCCTGCGCACAGACAAACTGGAGGTAACGCCTCACACAGAGACATTATGAGGCCGTCATTTCATTCATCCAAAATAATTACAAAGTAAAGGACAGTATAAGATGTAGGAAAGATGTTTTACTATGCAAATATATGTAATAAAAAAAATATGTATGTATAAAAAAAAAATTTTTTAAAAAGGACCAATCATAGTGCAGTGTAATGAAAGGGCCAAAAAAGATGTCATAATGCAAATAAATGTAAGGGAGAAAAGGCCGAGTCAGTATGTAATTTTATGTAAAAATGTCATTACATGTAAAAAAAAAAAAATTTAAAAAAAGACCGATCATGAATGTAAAAAATGACCAATCATAATTTAAAATAAAGAAAAGTCCAATCATAATTCAGTATGCAAATGTATTCAAGAAAGAATACCAGTCATAATTCCATATGTAAATATATATTAAAAAGGACCCATCATAATTCAATATAAAGAAATGAAGAAAGAAAGAAAAGACTAATCATAATTGAGTATGAAATTATATGTAAAAAAAAAAAAGACGAATCATAATTCAAAATAAAGAACAATCATATACAAAAAAAACAGTATGCATTAATTCAGTATGCTATTATATAAAAAAATAAAGACCAATAATAAGTCAGTATGCAAGAATGAAGACCAGTCATAATTCATTAAGTAAATATTAAATTAATCATTTTTTGTTAGATTCTGAACATTAAACATTTGAACAAAGTCAAGGTCACTGGGAGATTTTCGAACTTCAGCGTTGAAGTAGATTTAAAGTTTGTGAAAACCAAAGGCTTTCATCTGTATGTTAAAGACGGAGCTGAATTTATTGCGGAAAAGTGTGAGAAGGAGGATAGAAAGAAGTGCGAGGCATTTCAATGCAGCGCTGCCTCGCAAGATGATCAGCGTGGTTGAAACAATAACAGTTAGATGTCATAAAATAAATGTAAGGGAGAAAAGGCCGAGTCAGTATGTAATTTTATGTAAAAATGTCATTACATGTAAAAAAAATAAATAAAAAAAAGACCGATCATGAATGTAAAAAATGACCAATCATAATTTAAAATAAAGAAAAGTCCAATCATAATTCAGTATGCAAATGTATTCAAGAAAGAATACCAGTCATAATTCCATATGTAAATATATATTAAAAAGGACCCATCATAATTCAATATAAAGAAATGAAGAAAGAAAGAAAAGACTAATCATAATTGAGTATGAAATTATATGTAAAAAAAAAAAAGACGAATCATAATTCAAAATAAAGAACAATCATATACAAAAAAAACAGTATGCATTAATTCAGTATGCTATTATATAAAAAAATAAAGACCAATAATAAGTCAGTATGCAAGAATGAAGACCAGTCATAATTCATTAAGTAAATATTAAATTAATCATTTTTTGTTAGATTCTGAACATTAAACATTTGAACAAAGTCAAGGTCACTGGGAGATTTTCGAACTTCAGCGTTGAAGTAGATTTAAAGTTTGTGAAAACCAAAGGCTTTCATCTGTATGTTAAAGACGGAGCTGAATTTATTGCGGAAAAGTGTGAGAAGGAGGATAGAAAGAAGTGCGAGGCATTTCAATGCAGCGCTGCCTCGCAAGATGATCAGCGTGGTTGAAACAATAACAGTTGAATGTTGTGTGTGTGTGTGTGTCACTAAATGTGCGATCACTTAGCAACTGACTGATGTCTGTGATAATAAGAGGCTCGGTTCCTCTGCGGCCCTCCCACACCGAGAGGCTGTTGCTGTCTTTGTTAATATTCAGCTCGATGTGTGTTTATTTATGTACCTGTGCTCATACATAAGAGCCTTGAAACTTCAATGACTCACGTCTCTGTTTGCATATTTCTTTTGTGTTCCCTGTTTGTTTTGTCTGCGTGTGTTGGTTTGCGTCCAGGTGTGTCGCGAGTTTCAGCGGGGCAACTGCGCACGCGGCGAGACCGACTGCCGCTTCGCCCATCCTAGCGACAGCCCGATGATCGACACGAGCGACAACACGGTCACCGTGTGCATGGACTACATCAAGAGCCGCTGCTCGCGCGAGAAGTGCAAGTACTTCCACCCTCCGGCGCACCTGCAGGCCAAGATCAAAGCAGCCCAGCATCAGGCCAACCAGACTGCCGTCGCAGCACAGGCCGCCGCTGCAGCCATGGTGAGCTAATCACGCACAATTGATTTCAAAATGACATGCATACAATTCTACGTTTAAAGAGTCATGTTGCGCAAAACATTAGCGTGTTAAAGTTTTCAAATTACACCACCGTGACTCACCAGCTGCGTTTAATGTACAGCAGAATTTAATTTACCGCATTGTCACGACACATTGAATCGTAACCAAGGCAGTGCTTAGAATTGTGAAACCGTTTTCGGTTCTGTGCACGATAAAATCAATTGACAACACATGTTGAGACGTTCCACGCGGAGGTTGCGATTGAGATATCTGATGTTAGCACATTAAATGTGGAGCACTGCTTTATTATTATATAGCCATGACCCATCTCTAGAATCTGGGTGGGGTTGCGTGCCAAATCTGTGTCGACTTCCTTATCTCGTCCCGGGAGGATTTTAGTCCTATTAAAGAGGGTGAGTAAAGAGAGAGAGACAAAGAGACAAGCTGCTTGAGAAGACTGCCGTGTGATAAAAATCGCTCTCCCTTCTTATCCATCTAGTATCATACTGATGCGATCATTATTAGAAATAGGATATTAATACAATAAGCGCGATGGCTTAAAAGCATCTTTGCTCACACCCTTGACTGCACAAGGTCACGGGGCAGCTTACTTCCCCATTTCTCTGCCCAATGGGAGGCCTGCTCTCCTCAGATCAGTCAAGATTAAATTAAGGAGATGGATGGCATCTTCATGCCAAACTGACGTGAATGCACAGGTCCATCTATTATCCAAGCGAAACAGTATCTTGGGCCGCATGCCAGGCTGCTCTCGTTTGTAAGTTCTAACGCATGTCTACGCTGCAAGTGAGCGACACATTGCAACAGAACTGCAACACTGAGTTGCGTGCAATGCTGTAAGCAAGAGATGTCGAATTTTGTTGCATCTTGCAATTTATATTGCTTCGATTATAACAGTTATTGTTGCATCGCAATCTCTAAATGCATGCAATTTTGTTGCATTGCTTGCTTGCAACTTAGACAGCATTCTAGATATTGTCTACACTGCAAGCAAATGACGCAGAGAGTTTTGTGCACCGTTATGCCAAAGCGAAGAGAGAGTTTTGTTGTGTTTTGCACTCGCAATGTATATAGCTTCAATTATAACAGGTGCGATCAAGTTTTGTTGCGTCGAAATCTTTGCATGCATGTAATGTCAATTGCATTGCATTACTTGCAAAATATAGTTTCGTTGATGTGTATGGCTTTGATAATAACAGGCGCTATCATGTATTGTTTTGTTGCAATCCCTGCATGCAAGCAATTTTAATGCATCACTCGCTTGCAGCCTAGACAGTTTTGTTGATTTATTATGGGAGCATACTAGGTTTTTTCTACACTGCAAGTAAGCGATGCAAAAAACTGCAGCAAAGGAGTTTTGTTGCATTTTGTCACCATCACAACGTATAGTATATGGCTTTGATTATAGCAGGTGCCATCAAGTTTTGTTGCATCGCAATTTCTGCATGCATGCAATTTCGATTTTGTTGCATTGCTTACTTGCATTATAGACAGTTTTGGTGATTATGGGAGCATTCTAGTTTTGTCTACACTGCAAGCAAGCGATGCAACAAAAGCAACAGCGCTCCCTTAAAAACCAATGAAACCCTGTGTGCTGCAAGTGAGTAATGCATCAAAACCAGTATTGCACATTTGCAGTGTAGACAGATTTGTTGATTGCATCTTTTTTCTATGCTGCAAGACGGCAATGCAACACAACAAAACTAGACTGCTCCTGTTATAATCAGCAAAACTGTCCACATTTCCAGTGGTGTGACGCAATGAAACTTGATATTGCATGCTTGTAGATATAGCTTTGTTTCATATAATGGGAATGAACTTGTTTTGCTTATACGGCATGAAAGGTATGTGGTGCAACAACACTAGATCACTCCCATTATAATAAACAGAAGAGAACGGTGAGATGTAAGAAAACTTGCAAGTTAGTGGTACAGATAGCTTTTTTTATTATAATAAAGTAATCAAATTTTGTCGCAGTGCATTGTTGCATTGCAGTGCAGCTTTTTTGATTAGAATGAGAGCAATATAGTTTTTTCTACACTGCACACAAATAATGTGCTTACAAGAAAACTAGCTTTTCCCCATTAAAATTAATTAAGCTACAAGCTGATGACAAAATGCGACGTGATCTAGTTTTGTCGCACTGCATCACTAGACTGTGGTGAACAGTTCTAGCACTGATTATGATACGCGGTTTAGATTTATTTACACTGCAATGAGCAAAGCAACACAAGACAACTGTTTTGCTCCTGCTAAAGCTGTTAAAACTGCAAGCAACACAATACGACAGCTTTGTTGATTATAATGAAAGCAAATACTTTGTTCGACATTGCAAGGAATGCAATGCAGGAAAACTAGATCGCTCCTGTTATAATCAATGAAATGGTCTACTTTGCAATTTCACAAAGCGACGCAACAAATGCGACATGCATGAGTTTGCCATTTAGAATGGGAAAATTATTGTTTCCTTGCACTGCCACGCTTATTTCATTGATTATAATGGTAAGGAAATAGTTTGGTCCTGCAAGCTTACAATGTGACGCAACACATGCAACATAGTGAGCTTTCTGTTTAAAATGTGAACAATCTCGACGCAAACAATGCGTCGGTGTGAATATAGTTTGGTCGCGTCACTCGCTTGCGGTGTAGACACAGTATTAGGCAGCAAGCTTTCCCGCTTCCACATCTCACGCTGGTGTGGTTTTAGTTTGCCGCATTTTCTGTCATGGCACTCACACGCTTGGCCTCATTCGTTTTGCTGTTTACTCCATTTTCGCTTTTGCTTTTGCCCTGAACCTTTTGTCTTTTTCCACTGTGACGTCTGGGTCAGAGGGTGATGCGAGGACAGTATTGGCTCACCAGCCATAACAATAAAACAAGAGTCAAAATAAAGCCCTGGGTTTCCTGAGCATTCAGCGACCTGAGATAAACCACCAGCTTTGGCTACAGGGTAAAACACTGTTAGCCTCAAGGTGCAATGTGCTTTCCTGATTATGATGTAATGCAGATAACAAAGCAGATTTTTTTCTAGGGTTCAAACCGGGCCAGTTACTGTAGGAGCGCTGAAGCAATCGATCCCAAATGCGACCCCAGAGAAGTCAGATGATACAGTTATAGTTTCTTCATTTTCTTGCCTTTTAGTTTCTCTTTGTTTTGTTTTGTTTTTTTCACCAGTGGAAGGTTATGTAATTCTGTATGATAAATCCCCGTGGGTGGCATATTTATTTTAATGGTTCTCTATGTTGGCGGAGGGGAGCAAAACATTCAACTCTTGGTTACAAGAATATGCACAATTAAAGTGCATCTTATTCTGATGTTTATTAAAAGTTATACTTGCAAGCTCTGTTCCTAAACCTACTGATCTTTCTTCCTAGACAGCACTAGACTGTATCGTAAACGTGACACCAAGACTGTTCCAAAAGATTTGTGCATTATTATGCTGCTTTCCAAGATGCCTTGTTTTGCATAAATTCATGCAGCAAATATCCTTCAGGGAGAATTTAATCCCAGAATGTATTGCGACAAGCTCAGCGAAAAAACTTAAGATGACAATGAGAGGAATACAGTTCTATTTTAACACAGAAACTATCACTAAAATAGTTAAATCATAACAAATTACAATTTTATTCATTATTTGTGAATGCTGCAATGAAAATTCAGACTATTTTGGAATGACTAATTATGACTCCAGACTCCAGTGCACTTTGCATGAGAAGTGCTGTATGCCTAGTGCACTAAGTTGCTGCCTATGTAGAGTGTTTCAAATAAGTCATATATGCTTGAGAAGGTAGCAGCCTATGTAGACAACAATGCAGCTCACTAGGTTTTGGAGCAGAGCTCGAGAGAATCCAGACGTAGATGTTTTTCCTGGCAATAAAATGTCTTTAAATGAAGCATTATATTTCCCTCGTACCCTTTTGCTGTAATCTGTGACTTTATTATAAAGAAAAACATGCATTTTTTCTTTTCCATTCGACATCCTTTTTTGTGTGTGTGTGTGTGTGTGTGGCTATTCTGATTTCAAGCATTTCTGCATGGCCCTCAGCGTCATCTCATTTCAAGCGTCCTTTTTTGCTGCCCGTCATTCCATTTAGCCACATCTTTACTTATTACCATTACTTTTGCATGGCATTTTATTGGTGAGGAATATTGCAGTGTGCAATGTTAGTTGCATATAAATATTGAAATGCAAAAAGACATTAAAATGGGCCACAATAAAAAATAACTCGTAATGCTTTTTAAAAGGTCCAGCGTAAAAGAACATAAATTGGACGTTCTCAAATATAAGAATAAACAGAGCTCCACATTCTGTGATCACTCACATCAGTTGTTTTCTTTTGGTTCCGTGACCTTCACGATTTACATGTAGCTAGTTGGTAAGAAATTGCAACATATTGTGACAGAAACGAATGTCAGGGAAGGCGTTCCGATGTCCTTTTGTTTCCTTTTTGCTAAGCATTTTCGCTGCACATGTTAAAATCGCCCGATGAGCGCCGTTCAAATTGGCTAACTTGGCCCATGCGGATTCCAGTCCTAATTAGCGCTCGATAGACGCCGTGCAACTTCACGTTGCATCCGAACAGAACTAAATGAAGTTGATGCCAACCTGACATTCTTGCCATCATTAGAATTTAATTCGCCATATGCGCACAAAACCCTTCGATAGCGGATGTCGGGTGTGTTTTATGCAGCGAGCTTTCATAACACTAATATCTACAATCCCATTAGCGTGTTTTGACTTTTGATTGGTAAATGGTGAGACTCTTGATTTCTGACGCTTTTAACACAGGTATTGTAGATGCTTTGTGCTTTCGTACTAATTCAGAACGTAGTGAAATGTTTCTTTGAGAAGTTTTTTCGTGTATGTGCATGCCTATTGTTTTGTATGTGGTATTACTGCATTCAGATTATTTTTGTTTTTGTTTTTTTCCTTCTCACCTATTCCACAATGCAATGCTGTCCCCATGATGCACCTCTGCTTGCTGTTACCTGTATGTTAATACGCTTGAATCCCATTGGCCCACTGCCATCATGTGCTCGCTGCCTGCTATTAAAAGACTCAGTCGACTGCCAAAGCAATGAAGCGACCCCTCGAGGCATCTGTAGATCTGGTACTATGACCTTTCACCTTTTGCTTTGCATGTAGCTTTTTAATGTACTGTAGCGACTCACAGAAGTTTTTAATTTGGCTTTGTTCTTTGTTTTGATAGAAACAGTAAAAGTCACCAAGTACATGGTAGTCAATTTTGAAGAAAGAATGTTGTGTCGTCTTTCAAAGTAAAGTAGCTTTATTTAGTAAACGTAAGTGCCTTGCTTAAGTATCTATCGACGGTTGTCGTCGTCCTTGTGTAAAACGGAGCGATGCAGCTTCGAGTCAACATGTGCATGGATATAGAAGTGGTGCAAAACTCGTTTAACTCGTGCATGTACTCTTTCACGCTCAGGCGTTTCCCCATGGAGTCCTGCAGCCCCTACCAAAGAGACCGGCACTAGAAAAGAGTAACGGGGCCAGCACGCTCTTCAACCCCAGTGTCTTGCACTACCAACAGGCTTTGGCCAGCGCACAGCTCCAGCAGCCCACCGCTGCGTTCTTTCCCACAGGTGAGAGAAAACACACATGCACACATACAAACCCACGCACACACACCGCCCGCACTGCTTTGTATTAATCCCTGGTTCACCCTCTAAATGTTACACCCTTTTTCTCTTCCCCGATCCTGGCGTAACGTCATAACCGAGGCTTTTAAACAGCCACGTGTCCCTATTGCATGCAGAGTGTGTGCATGGAATACTAATGCATAACGTTATTTTAGAAGGGAAAATACAGACGTTATTTCTAGAGCGCTGCTGACTTTAATTTGGACAGTACTGTTGGGATACTTTGATCTAAAAATTATAGCCGGCCATAGATTAAATTAGAAAATTTACAGAAGTGCTTTGATCTGCATGCTAAAACGCATTTGCATCTGTACAGATACAGCACAATGATTATATATATCTGACTCCCATCAATACTGGCCAATACATAATGCAGATACATGTATTGCAGTTTTTGATTGCAATTATTGTAGTTGAGTAAAGCTGAAGTTAAAACTAAAAGTAAAACATAAAAAAGTAAAAGGTAACTAAAATAAAATAAATATATGAATAAAACTAATTATTTCAGCTAGTGGCCAAGGCAACATTTCTTATTTTAATTTAGTTTAACTTGATGTGCTAAAATAACTCAAACTAAAACTGAAACGAAAATTTATAAACATATATATTAATAGGCATATACATAAAACACAAAATAATTAAAACGTTAAAATAAAAATGAAAAACAAACAAATATTTAAAAGAAATAAAAACTCATTCAAAATATCAATAAAATCTATTATAGTATCTCAATGATGCTAAAATAACACTGCAGTTGTTTAGAATTAATTTAAATCAACTTTGACATTTGTCTCTCACTACAAAATTGCAGTGTGTATAAATAAATATATATATTTATTTAAACATAAAAAATATATATATATTATCCATAATTTATATTTTAATATTTTAAAACATTCTTTCTTGCAAATATATAATTTGCAAATGCTAATATTCTTTTTTGTTTTGTTTTTTCAGCTGAATATGCTGATGAAATTGCTGTAACATTTTAATAATTATATTATATTTTATACAATATTTACTCAAGATTAAAATATATTAAAAATGATTAGAATTATTTTAAATTATTATAAAACAAAATACGATCACATATAATATTATAATAATATATAATACTATTATATTTTTCATTTTAATTAATTTAATATATTATAAATAAATATAACATTCAGCTATATTTGAAAAAAAAAAAAAAAATTCTGAGATGCCTTTAATATTTATAGATTATTGCATGTAATCAAAGTTTGAAAATATGAGTCATTTATTCAGCTTAATAGCCAACATGTACAGTAATCACAGTGCGTTACAGTCAACAATAGCCATATATATTCCACCTACTATGGCTCTGTACCTGTAGGCGTACCCGCTGCAGTATTTTTATAACAGTAAACACAGAAAAAGCTCTCTCCATATGTAGGGTCTCGGAGCGAGTCCTGCTGTCTAATCCCTCGTAGGTGTATTTTGTCATCAAACACCCACATGGTGGTTGTGTTTCCTTTTAGCCGTCCTCTTGTGCCCCCGTTCCTCCCTCTTCTCCAGCTCTGGGGCTTTTGTAACAGCACATGTCTATTTTAACCGTAGGAGCGGACGTTGGCTCACCGCATGACTCTCTTGTGTGTGTGTGTGGCTGGTTTTTAGTCCTGTTGCCCTCTTCCTCTACTCCTACACTGTTTCCCTGCGCTCTAATTTCACAACGCTAAGCTCCTGTCCTATCATTGCGGCCCTTTGCGAATATTGATCCAGTTTATCTTCCTGGAAACGCTGAGTTTTTACCGGAATGACGACACGGTGGAGCGAGCGATCTATAATGACAAGCTTAATTGGATTTGTATGGCATGCTGAATACTGAATCTCTGACTCTGTGTCTAATATGTTTTTCTTCCCTATTAACTTCTCTCCACTCTTCACTGCATGGTCACAGGGTCAGTTCTGTGCATGGCTCCTGCTAGCAGCATTGGTAGGTTCCTCCTCTTCCTGTCTGTCTGTCTGTCTGTCTGTCTGTCTGTTTTCCCCACCTCACGTAGAGATCTAGTCGCTCTTACAGGTGATTTGAAGCTCGAGAGACACTCACGTCACACAAAATACCAAACTAGCACCTGTTGATGGAATCTGATCAGTTACACCATCACGCATCTGTTTTCTGCTTTATTCTGCTTCTGGTCACCTGCAAGAGCACTCTGTTTGTTTGAAATATTCACATTTCTCTTTCTGGGGTTTTAGAATTTAAAGTTTAAGTGCATATTTAATATACTTGTTGTTATTATTATTATTATAGTAGTTCTGTATATTTTATCTATTCACAGATTTCAATTTGTTTTGATTTTATTTCTAATTACAGTTATTATTAATATTATTATTGTTATTACTTATAGTAAGTCTATATATTTTACTTATTTACTTATTTTTTTTTTTATTATTGGAATTCCATATATTTTATATATTCGTATTCAATTTGTTTTAAATGATTTCAAATTCCAATTTTTTAAACCGTGGCTATCATTATTATAATTATAGGAATTCTATGCATTTTACATATTTATATTATTCAGTGTATTGTAAGTTATTTCAAATTCCAATTTTCAATTTTCGAATTCAGTTTTTAACTATTATATAAACTCTCTTTATATATTTGTATTATTTTACATTTTTACAGTGGTATTTTAAAGTTTACATTTTATATATTTATATATATATAATTCGTAAATTCATATAAATTTAAAAACAGTATTATTATTACTATGGTATTGTTTTAAAGTGTAATTCTTTATATTTTTATGTATTTTACATATATCATTCATTCTAAATTAATTTTGGTGGATTTTATTATTATTGTTTGAATATATTTGGCATTTTTACTGTGGTCTTTTAAAGTTTACATTTGATAATTCATATATATTATTACTTTTACATTTTTTTACAGTGACCATTATTATTATAATTATTATTATCAGTTAATTGTTGGAAAACAGTCATTTGTTTGTGTGAAAACACCAGATCCAAGCAAACAGGCTGTGAATAATAGGCTTGTGTACAATTGATTGGGAAATTTGATCAGTTTCCTAGAGAAAGAGCTCACTCGATCATAAACCAGCACACAGACGGCCAATCTGTGTAGTTTGCTGTAGATGGCAGGATCAATACTTGAAGAAGTGCGGCCCGTCGCGGGCTAACAGCTCGTGTAAATCTATCACCTGCACTGAGCACTCTCTGGGTACAACTGATTATGCTGTTAAATTTCCTTGAGGTGATTATAATCAGCCTTTCTCCTCTTCTTTTGTTGTTTTATTGTTTTGTTTCCCATGCTTCTCTCGCTTTGCATCGTGATTGCATGCCATCCGCTGGTTTAACCTAACGATGGCTCGCTGCTCTGTAATATACACCACTGCTAAACGACAAAACCAAAAAACAAACCAACCAACCAAACACCTGTTTCCATAATGCTCCACCTACCTGTTCATTGCTTCCATGGTTCCCTTCCTGAAAAAGTACCCATGATGTACAGTGCTGCGCCTGCTACTGTCTCTGCAGCAACAACTCCTGCCACAAGTGTCCCCTACGCAACAACAGCACCAGCCAATCAGGTTTGCTCCTTTTAAAAGCTTTCTTTCATGAATCCCTGAGCTCTGAATAAGCACTTTGCTACAAATTCATTCCGCGGTCGCCATGGCGATCGCACAATCTCCCGGCAAAATCTCGCACTTGCGCTCAGATCGGTGCTTATTCAGAGCTCGCACATTGGCAAATAGTAGTTGTGTTGTGTTGCATTATTTTCTCGTTTTGTTCTGCATGTCCTTGCTTTGTTTTGATGTCAAGATATCCTTCCTCATCTACACACACACACACCGGCTAAAAATAGACACGCCTCACTCCGTTCTAGTCTGATTTCCATGTACTCGGCTGCTCTGTGTCCGTCTCGGGCTTCGGGAAAGCAGGCGGAAGGTGAGCTGCACTGAAAGCGCTGCTGTAGGAGGGAATCTGACGAAGAGTCAGTTTAACAATGTTTAATAGCTGAATAACAACAGCATTTTAAATTCATATTAATAATAGATTATTTACTGTTTAACACTGTTATTAAATTCATAAATGTATGGAAATAATATTAATAAAAATTATTATTATTATTTTAATAATGTTAAATAATTGAATAGCAACTGCATTTTAAATTAATATTAATAAGAATAAATTATTTACTGTTTAACCACTGATATTACATTTATAAATATATTAAAATAATAGTAGTAATTATTATTATTATTTTAGTAATGTTGAATAACGAATAACAACAGCATTTTAAATTAATATCAATAATAAATTATTTACTGTTTAACACGGTTATTAAATTCATAAATATATGGAAATAATAATAATTATTATTATTATTGTTTTAATAATCTTGATTAATTGAATAGCAACAGCATTTTAAATTAATATTAATAATAATAAATTATTTACTGTTTAACCTCTGATATTACATTTATAAATATATTTAAATAATAGTAGTAATTATTATTATTATTTTAATAATGTTGAATAACTGAATAGCAACAGCATTTTTAATTAATATTAATAATAATAAATTATTTACCATTTAACCACTGATATTAAATCCTTAAATATTATTATTATTATTTTTTTTTTTATATATTAAAGTTTTTATTTTAAAAACTTTTTTTAAATAATTATTATATTTTTAAATAATAATAATTGTTATTGTTTTTGTATTATTATTGTTAATAGTTAAAAAATACAGTAAATTTCAAAATCACTTTTTGTTTCACATTTCATGTTTAATATTAACATATTATCTGTAGTAATGGTTTTAAAAATAACATTTTACTTAATAACATTATTTTAAAATCTGTTAATAATAATAATAATAATAATCCTATGACATTTATTTTAATTATTTACACTTGCTTATTAACTAAAAATGCACCCAACATAGCTGCGATGTTAAAAAAGATCATCATCTTTGATCAGTTCTCGCTCCCGTTCTTTGGGTATTGTTCACCGGAAGGTCACGTAAGGAGACTTTAAGGGCTTTCCTTCCGTCTCTCTTAAACGGAGCCTTCCTATCAGCGAGCAGCATTTCCTGTCGATTCACAGGCCTGCATCAGGAACTGGGACGTCCAGCGTTATTTGTAATCTTGTCACCGAACCTGTTTCCAGATGCTTCCAGACTCTTTAGCGCCACCTGTCAGGAGAGTGGACTACAGCACCGGCTTAACTGAGCAGAAAAGATGTAGTTGGTGCAGTGTTTTTGATTTGATTATCTTTCATAACCAATTAGGTTTCAATGTAGAGCCACAAATCTTGATGTTGAACATGAATCTGTGTTTACAGCCGTTTTTACTGGCATTATGCAAGAGTGCCTTGCACTCATAACCAAGTGTGCTCTCTGTGTGTGAAATGTTCACATTTATTTTTATGTGGTTTTGAAATTTACAGTATTTTTTAAATTCATTCATTAATAATAATAATAATTATTATTATTTTTAATAATGTTTCATAATTGAATAACAACAGCATTGTAAATTAATATAATAATAATAATAATAAATGATTTACCGTTTAACTACTGTTAAACTAATTCTTAAATATAATTAAACACATTTTTTTTGCTTACATATAAACTCATTCTTGTTTAATCTAATTCATAAATATTATTTAAATAATAATTAAATTTAATTAAATTTAATTATAATAATTAGTAAATTATTATTAATTAAAAAAAATTTAAATACAGTCAATTTCAAAATCTCAAAAATGGTTTTAAAAAATAATGTATTTTACTTAATAACATTTTAAAATCCATTAACAATAATAATAATAATTTCATTACATTT